CGTCGCCGCCAACAGAGGGGTGGAGACGACGGCAGCAGCGGCTACGGGATGCAAGGGAGCCGACGTGGAAAAGGACGTGGCTTCGGTGGTGCTGGACGCGGTGCAAAGAAAGACGACGACTCCAACGACCAACAAGGAGGTACCGGTTGGGGTCGCGGTGCGAAATCTGGACGTGGGGGCAAGTCGGGTGCTGGTGGCAAGATGAAAGGGAGTTGCTGGTATTGTGAGAAGGAAGGGCACCCCTGGTTTTTGTGCTATAAGAAACCCGATGGATGGACCCCCCAGAATCGTCACCAGGATGGCGGCACGCGAAGGAACCAGAAAAACGGCGCCAACATGGTCGCTGATTCGTCCGACAACAACCCGAAGGGCAACGGCGGTGCGGAGAAGAAGAAGGAGCGCACCGCGGGCCAATTCTTCCATATGTGAGTTAAGGGGGAGCAAGGAGACGCATCTGCTAAGGTTGGACCAGAGCTGCACCCCCTGGACTATTGGGTGTTGGACACGGGCACTGCTTGGACAATGACGCCGCGCAAGGACCTGCTGGACGATGTACGCGCTGCACCGATTAATGAGGTGTGCTCTGCCTCCGGACACATGTTGAAGGTGGCTGGTGCGGGACGAGCTGCGTTTAAGGGAGCGGATGGCAAGCCGGTGGTGCTGCACGAAGTTCTCCTCGTCCCCGACCTGAAGGCCAACCTTATCTCCCTCTGTAAGCTTGGCAAGGCTGGGGTGAACACCAACACAGATGGGGCTCGCACTTATAAGGGGAAGCTGGGCAATCGGGTGCTTTGGGATCTGCACGAGAGCAAGGACGTGTACAGATCTATGTGGCAGCTGCCGGCGCTGGCGTGGCACGGTGGGGGGCAGGCTGGAGAGGGGTCTGCATCCCAGGGGGAGTGCAACGCCGTTGGAGGGGTTGGTGTGAAAGTGTCGGCCAGATCTGGGGAGACGGATTGGGCAACTGCACACCGACGTTTGGGGCATGTGGCAATGCCTTTGCTAAAGCAGCTGGAGAAGGATGGAGCCGTTAAGGGCTTGAAGCTGAACGGACAACCACCCGATGATAACTGTGAAATTTGCCTCCTTTCAAAGTTCACACGTTTCCCCTTCCATAGTGTGGCTGGCAGGAGCAAAAAGCCGTTGGAGCTGGTCCACATGGACTTGGTGGGGCCGCTGCCGGTGCAAGGGCACAGGGGGGAGCGGTATTTCCTAACCATAGTGGATGACTGGAGCAGGCTAATGTGGGCGTATCCGCTGAAGCAGAAAGATCACGCCGCCTCCACGATTCGGGACGATTGGCTGCCGTTAGTGGAGAAGCAAGCGGAGTGTGTGGTGAAGCGGATTAGGACAGATCGGGGTGGTGAGTTCCTTGGAGCTGAGATGACGGCCTGGCTCAAGAAGCAGGGCATCTAGAGGGAGCTGACCACAGCTTACACCCCACAGTCTAACGGTGTAGCAGAACGCGCGAACCGGACAATTCTGGAGACAGCTAGAGCGCTGCTCATAGAATCTGGGCTGGGCAACTTGATGTGGCCCCATGCTGTTCGGCACGCTACCGTCGCTAGGAACAGGGTACTCACAAAGGTTGGGGATGACTCGTGGGTGCCGTTGGAGAGGTGGCTTGGGAGGAAGCCGCCGGTGGACATGCTGAGGGTGTTCGGTTGCATGGCAGTCGCCCACGTCCCCAAGACCTACCGCAGTAAGTTGGGGGCGAGTGCAATCTGGTGTGTGCATTTGGGGCTGGCTGTTGAGAGCAAGGGATGGCTGCTGTGGGAACCTTCCAAGGGTGTGTTGTTTGACAGCAGGGATGTGAAGTTTGTTGAGGGCATGATGTATGGGAGCTGGGAGAAACAGCCGGAGGCCAGGGTGTCCCAGCAAATGGAGCAGATCACCATGCAGCTGGACCTGACTCTTAGTGTGTGGGAGGAGGGAGAGGAGGCAGCTGCAGAGGGTGGTGATAAAGAGAAGGTGCAGGAGGCACCTGCTGGTGGAGGTGATAATGTGGAGACTAGCGGTAGCACTAGTGGAGCTGCTGGATCCGAGGGAGGAGAGCAGCAGCAGGGAAAAACTAAGAAGCCGAAGGGTGTCGTTATGAAGGGATGGGAGACACCCGTCTCCAGGCCAGGACGTACCCGTATGGCTACTAAGAAGCTGACTGCAAGAGCTGATGTAGCGGAGCAGCAGCTTGGGACTGAGGAGGCATTGCTGATTCTACCGCACGACTATGACCCGGATGAGGAGGATGAACCTGCCTACTGTTTTCTTGCCCCTGCACCAGAGGAACCAGCTAGCATGGAGGAGGCATTAGCTGGACCAGATAGGGAGAAGTGGCTGGTTTCCAGGGATGCTAAGTACCACAGCCTGCTAGAGAATGGGACCTGGGAACTAGTGGTGCTGCCTGAGGGAAAGAAAGCGGTACAATGCAAGTGGGTGCTAAGGATCAAGACTGACGACAAGGGGCAGGTCACCATCTACAAGAGTAGGTTGGTAGCTAAGGGGTTTATGCAGAAGGAGAAGCGGGACTTCAATGAGATCTTTGCTCCCACTGCCAAACCCCCTACCCTTCGTATCTTGTTGGGAGATGCAGCCATTAGTGGGAAGCTCATTATCCAGATGGACCTATCAACGGCATTCCTCAACGGGATTTTAGAGGAGGAGGTGTTCATGACGCAGCCACCTGAGTATGAGGATGGTACGGGCAGGGTGTGCAAGCTGAAAAAGTCCATCTACGGCTTGAAGCAGGCGCCACGCTGCTGGTACCAGAAGTTGGCAGCTGGTTTAGAGGAGATGGGATTCAGGACCAGCAGCTGTGATGAGAGCCTCTTTCTCAAGGGGGAGGGGGAGAAGCTGGTGCTGTTTCTGGTCTATGTGGACGACATTCTTCTCTTTAGTAGCAGCATGAAGGAGATCCAGAAGGTGCAGCAGCAGCTGATGGAGAACTTCAAGTGCAAGAACCTTGGGGAGGTAAAGTACTACCTCGGGATGCACGTGGAGAGGGATCTGGATTACAGGTGGTTGAAGCTGCACCAGGAGAAGTTCATCAAGGAGCTTGGGGAGAAGTACGGAATTGAGAATGAGCGCAAGGTTGCAACTCCCCTGCCAGCAGAATTCAAGCTTGTGAAAGCTGCAGAAGATGAAGGGGTTGAAGCCGAGGAGCAGCAGCAATTTCAGTCCTTGGTGGGCAGCCTCTTCTATGCAGCAGTTCACACGAGGCCCGACATCTCTTTCTCGGTTGGGCAACTGGCTAGGGTGGTGCAGAATCCATCAGAGGAGCAGGTGGATGCAGCTGAGCGTGTGGTGAAGTATCTGAACTCTCACCCAAGCATTGGAGTTCAATACTCCGCATCTGCACAGGTGAAGCAGAAAGGGGTTGAGGTGCTGAAAGAGAAGGGGGAAAGGCTTGGAGAAGGCAAGCTGTTTCTCACTTGCTTTACCGATGCTACGTGGGCCTCTGAGAAGGAGGATTCCTCATCTGTGGGAGGATACGTCTGCGTAGTTGGGGGAGGACCGGTTAGTTGGAGGTCAAAGAAGCAGACGGAGACAGCACTCTCTTCCGTGGAGTCAGAGTACATGGCAATGTTTCATGGGGTGAAGGAGGTGATTTGGCTGAGGAGGCTGTTAGAGGAGATTGGCCATGAGCAAAAGATTGCTACGCCGCTGTTTGTGATAGCAAGGAAGCTCTTGGGATGGCCAGGAACGCTGTGCTTCATGGACTCAATAAGCACATGCATATCAAGTGGCACTGGCTGCGTAAGGAGGTGAAGAGGGGGACGGTGAATCCGATCTACATCAAGACTCACCAGCAGCCAGCAGACTTCCTCACCAAGAGGCTTGCGGATGAGCCTCATTGGCGTTGTGTGCGCATGCGTGGAATGAGCATGAACTAGTATGGAATGATGGGGATGCAGCCGGCAGGCTGAGGGGGAGTGTGTTGGGTGCAAATTCACATTGCACGACATCCTGCCGTCTGTTTGTACGAGTATGCGTGTGCGAATGCATTTGCGTGTGAATGGTATGTTCGTGTGTTTGTTTGCTTTCGAAATTTTCGCTTGAAGCATTTGCAGGTACTCGCACAATGTGCGCTTCGGCATAACATTGTACGCAAGCAGAAAGGACGAGCTCGCAAAGGAACCCAAGATGGAAGCTTTGCGGTTCGGCTTACTTGATTGCGCAGATTCAGTTCTATCCAACTCGAAATTGTACTGTTTTGTTTGGTTAACTATAGTGTAGCAGGGCAGGCACTATAGGGGTACAATTTAGGTGAAGGTTGGATGTTGTTTGTCTGTATCTGCATGCTACAGGGCCAGGGGAAACCAGCGGAACCAGCATTTGGCTGGTTGGGCAAAGACAAAACAGGTTCTGTTTTTAGGACCTGAACCTGGTTGTTGTTTTCCCAGGTTGGAAAAACAGAACCAGAGGTTGTTCACCAACCTACCACCTGCTATTTTGTCCAGCCAGGTTGGTTCTGTTGCTTGGAATTATTTGGGATCATCCCTGGTTGTTCCCAGGTTGATTCCCAAGGTCCTTGCTAGCTAGAGCTATTTATTCCTTCTCTGTTTGTACCTGAATATAGTGAAATTGATTCAAGCGAATTCCTCCCTTCCTGGAATTTCTTTTCTACGCGGTGCGACGGCGGAATGCTACCCGAGTCAACACTAGTACGCTAGCACTCCAACGCTAGACTAACGCTGTCCGAGCCATAACTTCGTAATGGCAAAACTTTTCGCGAGGCAACTTGGCTTATTTTAAAGCTCTTAGAGTGAGCTTCGATAAAGGAATTTTTCAGCTTAATCCGATCGGCGGTCTGCACGATACGCTGCCCGACGTTCAAGGTACTCTTGCTGTTTTGACTAAGTCCCTCTTGATCCCTCTCTCTACAAACTCGGACCCGAGGATAGGGGCTGGTCTTGTACCAGGCACCCAAGGACCCTTGGAGGTGACCCCGAGGAGAGGTTTTAAGTGTGATAAAGTCTTAATAGCTTAAGTTTATTAGGCCCTTACACCAACAGGAAGGGGGTGGGGGGAAGCAGGGAAAGGGACATGGAAAAGCAGGGAAGGGGATGGGGGGAAGCAGGGAAAGGGACATGGGGAAGCAGGGAGGGGGATTGGGGGAAGCAGGGAAGGGGATGGGGGGTAGCAGGGAAGGGGATGGGGGGAAGCAGGGAAAGGGAAATCGGGAAGCAGGGAAGGGGGTGGGGGGAAGCAGGGAAAGGGACACGGGGAAGCAGGGAAGGGGACATGGTGTTGGTGTAAGGGCCTAATAAACTCAAGCTATTAAGACTTTATCACACCTAAAACCTCTACTCGGGGTCACCTCCAAGGGTCCTTGGGTGCCTAGTACAAGACCAGCCCCTATCCTCGGGTCCGAGTTTGTAGAGAGAGGGATCAAGAGGGACTTAGTCAAAACAGCAAGAGTACCTTGAACGTCGCGCAGCGTATCGTGCAGACCGTAGATCGGATTAAGCTGAGAATATACTATATCGAAGCTCACTCTAAGCGCTTTATAATAAGCCAAGTTGCCTCGCGAAAAGTTTTGCCATGACGAAGTTATGGCTCGGACAGCGTTAGCTTAGCGTTGGAGTGCTAGCGTACTAGCGTTGACTCGGGTAGCATTCCGCCGTCGCACCGCGTAGAAAGGAAATTCCAGCAAGGAAGGAATTCGCTTGAATCAATTTCACTATATTCAGGTACAAACAGAGAAGGAATAAATAGTTCTAGCTAGCAAGGACCTTGGGAATAAACCTGGGAACAACCAAGGATGATCCCAAATAATTCCAAGCAACAGAACCAACCTGGCTGGACAAAACAGCAGGTGGTAGGCTGGTAAACAACCTCTGGTTCTGTTTTTCCAACCTGGGAAAACAACAACCAGGTTCAGGTCCTAAAAACAGAACCTGTTTTGTCTTTGCCCAACCAGCCAAATGCTGGTTCCGCTGGTTTCCCCTGGCCCTGTAGCATGCAGATACAGACAAACAACATCCAACCTTCACCTAAATTGTACCTCTATAATGCCTGCCCTGCTACACTATAGTCAACCAAACAAAACAGTACAATTTCGAGTTGGATAGAACTGAATCTGCGCAATCAAGTAAGCCGAACCGCAAAGCTTCCATCTTGGGTTCCTTTGCAAGCTCGTCCTTTCTGCTTGTGCCGTTCATAGCGAGTACAATGTTATGCCGAAGCGCACATTGTGCGAGTACCTGCAAATGCTTCAAGCGAAATTGCGAAAGCAAACAAACACACGAAATACCATTCACACGCAAATGCATTCGCACACGCATACTCGTACAAACAGACGGCAGGATGTCGTGCAATGTGAATTTGCACCCAACACATGGGGAAGCAGGTAAAGGGATGGGGGGAAGAAGGGAAGGGGGTGGGGGAAAGCAGGGAAAGGGACATGGGGAAGCAGGGAGGGGGATGTTGGGAAGCAGGGAAGGGGATGGGGGGAAGCATGTAAAGGGATGGGGGGTAGAAGGGAAGGGGATGGGAGGAAGCAGGGAAGGAGATGGGGGGAAGCAGGTACATGGATGGTGGGAAGAAGGGAACGGGATGGGGGGAAGCAGGGAAGGGGATGGGAGGAAGCAAGGAAAGGGACATGGGAAAGCAGGGAAGGGGATGGGGGGAAGCAGGGAAAAGGACATGGGAAAGAAGGGAATGGGATGGGGGGAAGCAGGGAAGGGGACACGGGGAAGCAGGGAAGGGGACACGGGGAAGCAGGGAAGGGGACACAGGGAAGCAGGTAAAGGGATGGGGGAAAGAAGGGAACGGCATGGGGGAAGCAGAGAGAGGGACATGGGAAAGAAGGGAAGGGGATGGGGGAAAGCAGGGAAAGGGATGGGGGGAAGCAGGGAAGGGGATGGGGGGAAGCAGGGAAAGGGATGTTGGGACGTAGGGAAGGGGATGGGGGGAAGCAGGGAAGGGGACATGGGGAAGCAGGGAAGGGGATGGGGGGAAGCAAGGAAGGGGACACGGGGAAGCAGGGAAGGGGATGGTGGGAAGCAAAGAAGGGGATGGGGGGAATCAGGGAAGGGGATGGGGGGAAGCAGGGAAGGGGATGGGGGGAAGCAGGTAATGGGATGGGGGGAAGAAGGGAAGGGATGGGAGGAAGCAGGGAAGGAGATGGGGGGAAGCAAGTAAAGGTATAGGGGGAAGAAGGGAAGGGGATGGGGGGAAGTAGGGAAGGGAACTTGGGGAAGCAAGGACGGGGATGGGGGGAAGAAGGGAAGGGGATGGGGAGAAGCAGGGAAGGGGATGGGGGGAAGAAAGGAATTGGACATGGGGAAGCAGGGTGGTTGACACCTGTGGGATAGGTACTCGCAGGCCGCTGCTATTGAGGGTGAAGCGAGCCAAGACCTTTTTGATGAGTGGGTCGATGATGTCTCATTCTCCGAGAAGATGGTGCGTGACCCCGCCTCCTCAATCACTTTCTGAGCCATGATATTGTGGCGTAGTGAAGGCACAGTGACAGTGCCGGATGGGAAGGCGGGGCACGGGAGTGTGGACGAACCCTTGGCAAGAGTGGTGGAGCTTGAATCAGCTCCAAGGAGAGGAATAGGTGTTGCGTGGGGTTTGAAGGAGAGTGTCTCCTTGAGCACTGTGTGAATGGCCCCGCTGTCCTGTGTGAATTCATTGTATTGTGGTGCTTGTGATGAGCCAATGTACTTCGAAGTTGCTTCATTAGTCATGGCAATGCCAGAGAACAACAAGTTGACGCGCACATTAGTAGGAGCACTATCACTAGCACTAGCCTGAGCGGGGTCCTGTGCCTCAACTACGTTGGCCTTATGAGGACGCATCCAGTTCGGCGACTTCTTGTCAACTCCATGGATGACATACCATTCGTCGTCTTTCTTCTTGAAGCACGTGGCGAGGGGGTGGTTAGTGCCACCACACACTTGTCCCTTGCGGTTGCCGTACTTGACGATGTAAGTGAATGGAGGGAAGCGGTTGCGCTGAAAGGGCGCCGAGGCGACACTTGCTTGAGGCGCGGGAGCACGGAGGGCATAGGCCTTGGCTTGGGCCGAGGAGTCTTTCTCGGCGGAGAGGGCGGAGGTTACCTTAGCAAATGTGAGGTCTTCCGCTGAGGACGTGAAAAGCATTTTCCTTGTTTCTTCGTATGCCGAGGTGAGGCCAACAAGAAGGGCAGCCACATGAGCTTGTTCGGGGAAGATGATACCTAGCTCCTCGAGCTCGCCGTCGATGGTTTGCACCTTGGCGATGTAGTCGGCCATACTCGGGTAATCCTCAAGGCGAACTTGAAACATACTAGGAATTAGGATGGCCACCCCGACCGCCGTCTTGTTCATGAACCTGTCCTAGAGATGCTTCCAAATGGCGTTGGAAGTGGGGTGGTTGTGGAATGTGTTGACAAGTTCGGGAGGAGTGGAGCCGATGAAGATGCTAATGATAGCCAAATCGGCCTTCTCCCATTTGCGGTATTAGGCAACAGAGTCTTCGTACTCCTGGGTTGCCACAGCATCGGCTCGATCAGATCGCTCCTTGGGGATGGGGGGCTGTTTTCTCTTGCCATGATTGAGAAGAACGTCTTTGAGGTCAAGTCCACCCACTTCACGACTCAGGAGGAGATTGTCAACCCCGTAGCTCCATGCCTTGAAGTTGGAGCTAGTGCCGTTGGCTTCAAGGCGGAGCGGGGTGATGGGGTTGGCGAGAGTGGCCGAGGCAACAGCCATGACAAAAAACCCTTTAGGTCTCGCGTGAAGCACTGCTCATAAGTCACAGATTGGAATTTGAGGTTTCGGGTTTCCGAAGGAGAATTTAAAGAGCTTGGGGTTTAGGGTTTACGAAAGAGAATTGTGAGGTTTATGGTTTCTGAAGGAGAAAAACCAAGGGATGCGAAGGGCAAAGAGCTTCAATGTCGGCCGCTCAGGAATGTCTCGTAGAAAAAAATTCGATAGCTAACCCTATTCCAACACTCCACCCTCAGCTTCGCGGCTATGCTGCTCCCCAGCTTCGCTACTACACGGCTGCTCAGCTGCGCGGCTGCACCTGCTCAGCTGTAGAGTGTCGTTGCGGGGCGACGGGCGGCAGCCCGACGAGAAGATGCAGGGCGACGGGCGGCGGCCCGACGAGAAGAAGTGGAGCGAAAACAATTGATGAGAAAATGCGATTGGTTAAAGCGTCGACGATGCGCTTACTATAGAAGTTGCGAAAGTTGTCGAGAAGAAAGGGAGAGTGGCGAGGAATAATTTCCGGCCAAGGAAGTCGCGAATCACCGGCGACATGATTGAGGGCGGCTACGTCGAAGAAAGCGGGACAAGAGCCCGTTGAGATAAGAGGATCACGATACACGTGTGTGGTTGACTAGCTCTGGTACCGTGTTAGAACTTGAGCTTAAAATCCATGCATTAGTAATGAGCCCAAGGCTCTTTAAGTACATTGGAAATGGGCAACGTAAGGGTGGAGACGAAATAAGGGGCAATCCTAGGGAATTTGGGGTAATCCCAAGGCAATCTCCAATTGGTGGGTTGGAGATTGCTTAGAGATTACATTTGGGTTTGGTGGGATGTGGGTGAACACCTAACCAAACACAAAGTGCAACCTACACTAGACTATGATATAAAAAGTACAGTACAAATGTGAGATTGGGGGCTAACATTAACAACTTCATCATCCACGCGTGGCACGTCATCACTATCCGCACATGAGTTGTCATACACGCTGTGCTCCAAACTCGTCACCGACTCTGTTGTCTTTGCACGCGTGCTGGGCTGTGTTGGGGGAGGGCAAAGCGGATGGAACAACAGGGTTGGGGACATGAAGAGCGATGGGGGGGGAAGAAAAAGGGTTGGGAAAAAGGAGCAAAAAAAGTGGCGAACAGCTTCTTGCAACGAGAAATGGAGAGGATGTCGGGAGAGGAAAGATGGTGTTGGTGTAAGGGCCTAATAAACTCAAGCTATTAAGACTTTATCAAACTTAAAACCTCTCCTCGGGGTCACCTCCAAGGGTCCTTGGGTGCCTGGTACAAGACCAGCCCCTATCCTCGGGTCCGAGTTTGTAGAGAGAGGGATCAAGAGGGACTTAGTCAAAACAGCAAGAGTACCTTGAACGTCGCGCAGCGTATCGTGCAGACCGTCGATCGGATTAAGCTGAGAATTTCCTATATCGAAGCTCGCTCCAAGAGCTTTAAAATGAACCAAGTTGCCTCGCGAAAAGTTCTGCCATTACAAAGTTATGGCTCGGAAAGCGTTTGCCTAGAGTTGGAGTGCTAGCGTACTAGCGTTGACTCGGGTAGCATTCCGCCGTCGCACCGCGTAGAAACGAAATTCCAGGAAGGGAGGAATTCGCTTGAATCAAATTGACTATATTCAGGTACAAACAGAGAAAGAATAAATAGTTCTAGCTAGAGAAGACCTTGGGAATAAATCTGGGAACAACCAAGGATGATCCCAAATAATTCCAAGCAACAGAACCAACCTGGCTGGACAGAACAGCAGGTGGTAGGTTGGTAAACAACCTCTGGTTCTGTTTTTCCAACCTGGGAAAACAACAACCAGGTTCAGGTCCTAAAAACAGAACCTGTTTTGTCTTTGCCCAACCAGCCAAATGCTGGTTCCGCTGGTTTCCCCTGGCCCTGTAGCATGCAGATACAGACAAACAACATCTAACCTTCACCTAAATTGTACCTCTATAGTGCCTGCCCTGCTACACTATAGTCAACCAAACAAAACAGTACAATTTCGAGTTGGATAGATTTGAATCTGCGCAATCAAGTAAGCCGAACCGCAAAGCTTCCATCTTGGGTTCCTTTGCGAGCTCGTTCTTTCTGCTAGTACTGTTCATAGCGCGTACAATGATATGCCGAAGCGCACAATGCGTGAGTACCTGCAAATGCTTCAAGCGAAAAATGCGAAATAAAACAAACACACGAACATTCCATTCATACCCAAATGCATTCGCACACGCATACTTGTACAAACAGACGGCAGGATGTCGTGCAATGTGAATTTGCACCCAACACACTCCCCCTCAGCCTGCCGGCTGCATTTCCATCATTCCATGCTAGTTCATGCTCATTCCACTCATGCGCACACAACGCCAATGAGGCTCATCTGCAAGCCTCCTGGTGAGGAAGTCTGCTGGCTGCTGGTGAGTCTTGATGTAGATCGGATTCACCGTCCCCCTTTTCACTTCCTTACGCAGCCAATGCCACTTGATACGCAATTGCTTATTGAGCCCATGAAGCACAGCGTTCCTGGCCATTCCAAGAGCTCCCTTGCTATCACAAAACAGGGGAGTAGCAACGTTTTGCTCCTGGCCAATCTCCTCCAACAGCCTCCTCAGCCTAATCACCTCCTTCACCCCATGGAACATCGCCATGTACTCTGATTCCACGGAAGAGAGTGCCGTCTCCGTCTGCTTCTTCGACCTCCAACTAACCGATCCTCCCCCAACTACGCAGATGTATCCTCCCACAGATGAGGAATCCTCCTTCTCAGAGGCCCACGTAGCATCGGTAAAGCAAGTGCGAAAGAGCTTGCCTTCTCCAAGCCTCTCCCCCTTCTCTTTCAGCACCTCAACCCCTTTCTGCTTCACCTGTGCAGATGCGGAGTATTGAACTCCAATGCTTGGGTGGGAGTTCAGATACTTCACCACACGCTTAGCTGCATCCACCTGCTCCTCTGATGGATTCTGCACCACCCTAGCCAGCTGCCCAACCGAGAAAGAGATGTCGGGCCTCGTGTGAACTGCTGCATACAAGAGGCTGCCCACCAAGGACTGAAATTGCTGCTGCTCCTCGGCTTCAACCCCTTCATCCTCTGCAGCTTTCACAAGCTTGAATTCTGCTAGCAGGGGAGTTGCAACCTTGCGCTCATTCTCAATCCTATACTTCTCCCCCAGCTCCTTGATGAACTTCTCCTGATGCAGCTTCAACCACCTGTGATCCAGATCCCTCTCCACGTGCATCCCGAGGTAGTACTTTACCTCCCCAAGGTTCTTGCACTTGAAGTTCTCCATCAGCTGCTGTTGCACATTCTGGATCTCTTTCATGCTGCTGCTAAAGAGAAGAATGTCATCCACATAGACCAGAAACAGCACCAGCTTCTCCCCCTCCCCCTTGAGAAAGAGGCTCTCATCACAGCTGCTGGTCCTGAATCCCATCTCCTCTAAAACAGCTGCCAAATTCTGGTACCAGCAGCGTGGCGCTTGCTTCAAGCCGTAGATGGACATTTTCAGCTTGCACACCCTGCCCGTACCATCCTCATACCCAGGTGGCTGCGTCATGTACACAACCTGAAGGCCAACCTCATCTCCCTCC